GCCGAGGGGCTTCAGACATCCCTCATGCCCCGGGGAAGAAGATAGAACAACTAAATAATGATGGGCGGGGCAGCACGAAAGCGCAGGCCAAGGGGAATGCCCTTGGTCCAAGCCCCAAGCAAGACAACGAGAGAGAAATATGCTTCCCGAATGTGAGGACACCAGATTAGTAAGGGTACCCCCAGCATGCTGAAACCCCCACTTGAAGATATGCAGGTACTCCAATATCTGAAGGCTGGAACTGGCGAAGCAGAGGTCTTGCAACTTGTCTGGCCCCCTAGCACGGCATGTCGACCCTCAACCCTAAACCGAAAACAACTTGCGCAAGGTTCGCACAGGCCCGGGGCCCCAGGACCCAGCGGCAGGGGTGCTTTAAAAGGCTCGACTACTATAACAGGTCTTTTGAGGGCCCAACTACTATAACAGGCATTTTAAGGGTTCACCTACCATAAAAGGGTTCAACTACCCTAACAGGTCTTGTGAGGGTTCTGTAATATTGGGACATACCGGGGCCTTCATTGAACCAGCAGCTGGGACTTACAAAAATGGCTCCGCCCCGAGGTCAGCAGACCGTGCAGGGGGGTGTGCCCTTCTTCATCGTGGGAGCAGGTGGGAGTTTCCGAAAATAAGGGGTACCGTCTTTGGGGGTCCTTCTTAAAGAGGATCCTGTTATTTAGGGTACTATGTTAGGGTCCCCTATTTTTGGAAACCCCCAGCTGCCCTTTCTTCACGCAAACATTTGAAAGATGGTGTTCAGCATCGTTGCTTCAGAGTGCCGCGGTCGTTTGCAGCAGCAGAAGTGTACCTTAGCTTTCGTATCTTGGCTTATCCTACATCACAGGCTGCTACATTATATATAATACTACTGTATCGTAGCTCATCCTACATCATAGGATGCTCCATAGATGATACTACATTGTACTAGTTACTAGATCATACTATACTGCACTATACGACACTGCTAATGCACTATACTTTGCTAGCCTATCTTTGGCTAGGCAAGGCTTTTTTGCATTGACCTGTATCATAACCCTTTTTTGAACCCGGGTGAGTAGGGATTTGGAAGCGCACAGGCTGTTGGCTCGGAGTGGGTGTGCTGCTCGAAGCATACGCCTCGCCCGGTTGTTCGAGTGTGAGCGCCGAAACCCTTAACCCGAAACCCTAATCTCGAAACTTCCAGCCATGCGAGAGGGAAAAATCTCGAAACTCTAAGCCCGAAACCCTGACGTCCAAAGAACAAAACCGAAGCCCGACACTCTAAACCCTAAACCCCGACCTTATCTGCTAGGAGGAAAAAAGGTGCTCAAAAAAACGAAACCCTAAACCCTGCACCATTGGATGTTCATGGGTAGTTATAAGTCGGGTTATACGTCCCCTAATATGGGCTATAATTACAGTGTGTAGTAGAATATAGTAGAATGCAAGTTTCCATATTAGGAGTTATTATTATGATTTGGGATACCTAGGACCCTAAACCCTAAACCCCAGTTACCCGATCTTATCCGATCCATTGCCAGGGAATCAGCCGATCGGCTTCTCGGGTGCACAGCCGCAGCAGCCCCGGCTTTCGGAAAAGAAACGGCCCGGTGGTCGCTTTCAAGGATTTTGGGATTAGGCGTTAGGGCTGCGCTACAAGTCTGTGCACAAAAAAAGGGCTTTTCGGTTTGTTTTGTTAAGGGTTGAGTGTTATGGGTTCGGAAGAGGCTTCTAACTTTGTTTCTGAGGTTTTATATTTACTACAGCTCTGTGCTGGGATCTCGAGGAGGAGCACCTGGTAGGGGATAGATCATCCGACGGTTCACCCGCCCATACTTTTGCATGGCGCATTTTGGTGGAGGTTGTTTCAGCGGTTGCATTCGATGAACGTGCTTAGATGCACTTGAATCAAGATGTGGGAAGCTGGGCCGGACCTTCCAGCTAGTAACCAAGGTTTGGGGCTTAAGATTTAGGGTTTAGGGACAGCTTGCCGGCATACAACCAAAGCCCGTGCTGAAAAGGGACAGCAAGTAGATTTCATGAAATGCAACAGAAGCCATGTTAGGGAGATCCTTTCCGATGCTGCAACAAGGTCGGAGCAGTTCGTTCGGATTTTCCAGAGGGTTTGTGAAGAAGACGGTGGCCAGGACTTGCTGTTGCACTGATGCTTCCCACCTGCAGCGAATGCGTAGACATGCGTAGACCTGCTGGTGAGGACTAGCGTCGCATGATGCCTGAAGCGATGGCTTGCCCTTTGTTGACAAATATATAGACAGAAATTAGGGCAAGATGCATTCCAAGATGTTCCCAACCAAAGACAAGAGCATATAAACAGCATAATCAAAGACGCGTTGAAATCGCTGAAAGACTCCTCGGCGGCCTGACCGAAGCTTACATCACACCGATCGTGTCCAGCCCCAGGTTGTCGCGACGAGCAAAGTCTCGGAACATGCCGTCGGCAAATTCCTTTAATACAATTTGAACTCTCCAGAGATTCCAATATCCGTTAATTAAGGAATATACCTACGTCATATTAGGAGTGGAACTATAATCTAAGGTATATTCCTTAATTAGGGGATATTGGAGTCTCTGGGATCACAGACGCTTGTCTGATCTTTGGTGGCAGCCAGTGTCCATGCAGAGGCGGGGGTCTAACGATTGGAGCAAGAGAGAGAGAGAGAGAGAGAGAGAGAGAGAGAGAGACAGAGACATGGCAATGAAGCAGGGTTCGCAGAGACTCCAACATCCACCAATTAAGGAATATACCGATAATATATCCATATTAGGGATCCTATACTATATTTTGAGGTAGATTCCTTAATCAATGGATATTGGAGTCTCTGGGTTTTCACGCCTTGCTAGCACGTATTGGTCTGAAGGTCTTGCGCACACGAATGATCGGGAGTCGAATCACTTCAAGCTTCTTGCTCAGCCCCTTTTTTATCCACTTCCGGGTGGCTCGAGCTGCAGCATGAACACTCAGGCAACCTTCGCCCTGGGACAAGTGTGCGGCTACCTCGGGTGGTACGCAGGCGGTCTGGAGCAGGATCCAGAATTTCCTCTGGCTGCATGCGAGGCGCCGAGCTCGGCAACAAAGCTCTGAGCAACGTGTCACAAAGGCAGAGCGCAATCGATTCGCTTTCTTTTCTGGTGAGCCGTGACTCGGGGAGCGTCAGAAACATCTTGCGTACCTTTGCCACCCGCCTCCTGGGGTCTGTCGGTGGGCAGGCAGGTGGTGTTGGCAGATGCTTCTAACCGGGTGCCAAGCTTGGCCGCCCCGAAGCATATGATCAGGGAGATGTGGCGGGAGAAGATCCATGTGACCATGTGACACCTACCATGGGTGATACTTCCTGCTTTAACTTACAGCTTGTTTATGCAAATATTGCAATGACACATGCTGAGCAAACCTGGACAACACCGGCCAAGCCAAGAATCACAGCATCTTCATGGCAATGGCAGGCGTACATGAGGCCATGCGCTTCTCCAAGTTGTGAGCAGTGACAAAATGAGATTTCTGTGAGGATTTGGCAGAGTTGATCAGGGAATTCGGCCTGCCAGATCGCCTCCTCCGTACCTTTCAGGAGAAGGCACCCCAGAGACTCATATTAAGGATCCTACTATAATTTAAGGTATATTCCTTAATTAAGGGATATTGGAGTCTCTGGGACAGGTTCTTCTCTGTTGTGGACCTCTCAGCCAATCGGCCTTCAAGGCCGTCACCTCCATCAACGCAGTCATAAAGACCTTCGAGGATGATGAGCAGTCAGGGGCTCTGCTAAGGTCATAAGGACCCTTGGGGGGAGGGGGGTAGGGCTAGGGGGCCTCAAAAACCTACAATAAGGACCTGATCAGGCCTACTTAAGGAAGTATAGTCCCCAACCCCCCTCCCCCCTACAGCCCTAAGGGGTTCCATGATAGGTGTTTTCCACTGGGAGCGCTGGTTCGCTGACCGGTTTCTGGAGTGTCAGGTTTGCGGACTTCATTCTGCAGCAGGAGGTTCTGGGTTCGAAGTCTCTGCGGCTGCGCCTGGCATTGAAGATGGCACGGGCCTCTAAACAATCACGAAGCATGAGAATCAGGTCGTGCGACGAAGAGGGTTCGGGCCGACCGCAGGTGTACATGGAAGCGGTGCAGCGTGCTCGCAGCAGGGGCCAGGTATCCGGGCGTAATGACAGCTCCCTTGGAGTTTCCACGGCATCGACAGAGCTTGCGGCTTGCAGGTGCCACGAATGTCGTCGTCTCCTGTTTCATCCTCGGCGCCGAGCCCGCCTGCAACTGACAACGAAGAGGCGCCAGAAGAGTCACCGACAGAGGACCAACTTTGCCTTTGTGAGCGTTTCACAGCAGAGTCGCATGTTTCCTGCATGGCGACTCAGCAAAGCATGTAGCCGAGGATGAGGACGAAGACGAGGACACGGATCATTGATCACTGTGTGTTGGATGACTTCACTTAGCTGGCGGCAGGCGTCTCCGCCGCCCCCTCCACCCCCGCCGCCAGCAGCCGAGAGACTTAAGTCATGCCCTCACCCCCCCTCCCGGCTGCAAATCGATGTTCCCTGGTTTTTTTCGTGTCAGGCCTCCCGATGCATCAGGCCGTGGCTGCGACGGGAGGGTTCTTCTTGTCTTGACCGCGGCGAGCTACATACATGATTTGCCGGTTTTTTCATACTGGCAGGCCCCGCATGGCGTCCTTGATTTCTAGCGCCAGCTCAAGTAAGGCCGGCTTCAGCAATGCATGTCCGTTTCACCACGTGAGTGCATGACTTGAAGGGCGAGACCTGCAATGGTGAACAAGGTTAGCCTCGCGAACCACATATGTAGCATGTATTGCTGATAGGTGTGCTGGTCTGTCAGAAGCTTCTGCATCGATGGTTGCATCCATTTGCGGACCAACAAAAAATGTGAAGACTTCTTGGTGTCATGGCCCCCCATTGTGACGCCTACCCAACCAACTGCAAAAAAAACAGATGCATGACCCAAGGCAACACGAAGCCTTTAACAAGCTCCATACCATGTACCATATGCACCCCAATGTCCAAAACAACTATGCGGCGATGAGTCAGCAATGTGCTGATGTTCCCAGCCAGAACTTGGAGGCCAGGGTTCGGTTGTAACTTTTGGTAATGATAGCCACCCGCACTACTTTGAGGCGATGCCTGCATGTCATGTAGCCGACAGAGCTGCAGGTGAGGACTTCTATTGCCGAATCCTACGGTGCAGCTTCCGCAGCATAGAGTTTCTGTGGCATGTTTGCCATTTTCGAGCTCTCGAAGCCCGGAGGTCAGGCTCCATGCACGATGGGCGCGCCAGGAGCCCTGCGTTGCAAAACCGAGTTCGTGGCCTCTTGCAGGTTGTTCTACAGCTCAGCTCAGGCCATCGTAGATGGAGGCACCCGGGCATGGGGCGCTGCCCTCGCGCCTGTCGAATCTGGATGATAGTATTTGGGAGAACGTCTTTAGAGTAAGGCTTGCAGGCCGCCGCAACTGCAGACGCGGTTGCCCCAGACTTTCTAGCTGCAGGTTGTCACGGGGGGACTAGCCGGGATTTCACGCTGTATCGAACAAGGCTCGGCAAAATGTGGAGGTGCTTTCCGGCCGCTTCTCCAATCTATTTTCCCAGCTGGCCAGAGAAGAGGCTCTGCTTCTCCCATTACCAGACAGTCTCAGGATTTGCCTGTCATCATCGGCCGTGCGTGTTAAGGTGACACTTAAAGTTAACTGTCGTTTGCTAGTGCAGATGCAATTTTCCAGTCATTTCTCCTCATCGCAGTTCAACCCCACGTTAGCCGGCAAAAGATTTGTCAGCGTACGCTGGATGTGTCTGCATGGCATCGGTAAGGGTTTCTTCAGGTTCCGGGGTTTGTCAGCCGTCAAAAGGGCTGTCGGGGGCAAAATAAAGGTTTGTCAGTCATCTCACGTGCATAATGAAGTCCTTACCGATTTGTCGGCCCTTAACCCATAAAGCCCTAAACCCTGCGCGAGGAGGAAAATTACCGACGAAATAAAACCACCCAAAACCCTAAACCGTTTGGCCAATCCTTAGGCTGCCCAGCAGTACCCTTTTGCAAATTTTATTTCATCGCTCCCATATGAAAACCAAATAGGAATGTGGGCAGTGCTTGAAATGAATGGTAGAGTTTAAGACTTCGAAGAACTGTTGTCCTCATGATTAAATAGTACTAGAAAGGCAGCCGTATCGACAAGAGCTTGAACATTTTAATACTAGTGAATACCTATACTTAAAGCCCAATAGTGTTAACGACAAGTAAGAACACACATGGGGAATGTTCAACGCAATGAGACCAGCAAACATACTACATGCACGACGTGATAATACTGGTCATAGAAAAGTCTACGCAGGAACAAAATGTGAATTACCAAGGTCCGTTTTCTTCACACTGGACGGAATAGACAACGCATGACGAGAATTATGTGGAGTGACGTGTGGAATGATCTAGATAGATCGATAGATAGATAGATAATCATGCTGATGAAGATGATTGTGCAGATGAAGATGAAGACTACTATGATTGTGAGACGCACCTATTAATGGGAAGGCCACACAACAACAATGTGCCAGGACGATGACAGTGATATTATATACCACCATGAAGAACAGTCATGATAAGACTGACAATGATAGTAATGCAAGGCTTGCCGTGTAGAACTGGTGCCATTTGACCTGGCCTCGATAAGAGTAACGTTGTACTCGATCCTAGATACGAGCAATACTTGTCGCGCTAGCCAGAACATTTGAAGCACAATAAAAACTGGGAGAGCCGTCACAGTCTCAGTGTATCATAGTCGTAATCATGCTTGATGCCGGTGCTTTTGCCGTCTTGCTGAATCTAGGTGGAAGCTACGCTAAACCTTAAACCCTGCGTGTGAGCGCCGACGCCTCAAACCCTGAACTTCTAAACCCTAAACTTACCTTGGGTTAGTAGTGAATGGAGGAATGGGGTACAGTTATAGCTACTATTACTACCATTCTTCCATTCCCTACTAACCAAAGGTAAGTAAACGGCATTCCCTGACGCTCGGTCTTTGTTTGCGAGGCTGCGTTGAAAGCTGCGCTCTCTAACAACGAGAGCTTGGAGCAGCAGCTGCAGGTGGGGGCATTTTTCGGGTTTAGGGTTCCTTTAAAGGGTACCATAAAGGTTCTTTTTAAGGGATCTGTAGGCTTTAGATTTTAGGGTTTAAGGTTGCAGCATTGAGGGTGTGTTTGATTGCCATGAGCAGGACTTTCGTCGCCAGGATCCTCGGGGAAAGCGACCCGTATGGCAACCAGGGTGCTCGTGATGAGAATGACAGTTGCCCCCATTGTTGACGTGATTGCTGCTTACACTCAAGATCCGAGGCTGAGCAAGGCCGGAAGCTACTTCGATGGGGAGGTGAACCGGAGCCTGCAGGGGAAGCGGGAAATTCTGAGCCGTTGAGTCGGAAGTAAGGAAGGAGTAGGAATCAACTTGCTTGAAGTACTGTGAGAGTTGGTAGAGCCAGAACCAACAGCCAAACATTTGGCTGCTGGTTTGCTTGGGGGGTTGCAGGTTCCCCCTCCCGGACCGAGAAGGAAAGGTATCATGAACGCAGTTTGCGCAGATGGAAAGGTTGGACAGAAAAACCAAACCAAACCCTGGCCCTAAGCCCAATCATCTTCCTGGAGTGTTGGGGTTGCGAGAGTCCAACTATTATTGCCCTGGGTAATGCCTGGCATTCCTTGGCATTGAGATGTCTCTGGAATTTTATAACAACAAGAAGGAAAAATTATAGCCAAAGTCATCAGAGCAATAGTAATAGAATGACAGTATAAAAGTATAAGATAACAAGCAACAGTAGCAACAGTTGTACTAGTAGTAACAGATATAAAAACAGCACTAACACAAACAATGCTACTACTGACTCGGTTGATGATATCAATCCTGCATTACCTTAAGAACCCTAAACTATGGGAATTATGGTGTGTTCCTTATGATGGGTAGTGCAGCATTCATACCATCCACTGTAGTAGTGCTGATAACACCCGGTGCTTAGAAGGGTTTGGGGGAATGGATCCCTATAGCCCGTTAAGGTCCCTTATAGCAGTGTTGATCATCCATTCCCCCATTCCCTACTAAGAGCCAGACATTCTACTAAGAACCCTAAATCCCTATAGTATAACCCTTATAGTAACCCTTACTTATAGTAACCCTTGTAGTAACCCTTAAAGGGTCCCTTAAAGGAACCCTGATACCTGCAATGGAAGGTGGCAGAACTCCGGGCTGAAGCTCAAGCAGCCGAGCATCAGGCCAGAAACACAGAGAACTTGAGGGTTTAGGGGTCTTAAGGGTTTAGGGCTCTCTTAAGGGATTAAGTTTCTTGGGTTTAGGGTTCTTAAGTTTCGGGTTTTGAGTGTTGAAGGTTTGAGGTTTTTTGGTTTAGGGTTTAACGACCCCCATCCAGGCGGGATTCGCACAAGCCTGTGCATAAAAAAAGGTTCTTAAGGATGCAAGGTTCTTGGGTGTAGGGTTGAGGGTTCTTAAGTTTCGGGTTTAGGATTCTTAACAGTCAGTTCCTGGCATATGCGTAGTCCAGGTGTAAAAGGATTCTTAACAGTTTAAGATTCATTGGTTTAGGTTCTAGGGTTCTTGAGGATTTAAGGTTCTTGGGTTTACTGTTCTTAAGTTTCGGGTTTAGAGTTCTTAAGGGTTTAAGGTTCTTGCGTTTAGGGTTTAGGGTTCTTAACCTTCGGGTTTAGAGTTCTCACGGGTTTAAGGTTCTTGCGTTTAGGGTTTCGGGTTCTTAAGGATTTAAGGTTCTTGGGTTTGGGATTTACGGTCCTCAAGTTTCGGGTTTAGAGTTCTTAAGGGTTTAAGGTTCTTGCGTTTAGGGTTTAGGGTTCTTAACCTTCGGGTTTAGAGTTCTCACGGGTTTAAGGTTCTTGCGTTTAGGGTTTCGGGTTCTTAAGGATTTAAGGTTCTTGGGTTTGGGATTTACGGTCCTCAAGTTTCGGGTTTAGGGGTCTTAAGGGTTTACGGTTCTTGGGTTTAGGGTTTTTAAGGGTTCTTATGGACTTAAGGTTCTTGGGTATAGGGTTCAGGATTCTTAAGCTTCGGGTTCAGAGTTCTTAAGGGTTTAAGGTTCTGTCTTACGGACACAAGGTTCTTGGGTTTAGGGTTCTTTAGTTTAGGGGTCAGAGTTCTTAAGGATTTAACGTTCTCGCGTTTAGGGTTTAGGGTTCTTTAGTTTAGGGTTCAGAGTTCTTAGGGATTTAAGGTTCTTGGGTTTAGGGTTCAGGGTTCTTAAGGATTCAAGGTTCTTGGGTGTAGGGTTCTCAAGGTTCGGGTTGAGGTTCCAAGCTTAGGGCTGTTGCAGCCGCCTTTGCCGTGTTGTTCAGGAACTGCAACACTGTCAGCTCCATAGGATATTTGGTAATAGCAGTAGTAGTAGTAGTAGTCGTCGTCGTCGTAGTAGTAGTAGTAGTTGATCAGTCACAGTAGTAGTAGTAGTAGTAGTAGTAGTAGTAGTAGTAGTAGTAGTAGTAGTAGTAGTAGTAGTAGTAGTAGTAAGAGTTGTAGTAAGAGTTGTAGTGAGAGTTGTAGTAAGAGTTGTAGTAGTAGTAGTAGTTGTTGTTGTTGTTGTAGTAGTAGCAGTAGTAGTAGCAGTAGTAAGACTAATAATCGTAGTAGTAATAGTGACACTTGCAATACTTGCGATAACAATGGCAATAATACCAACGATGGCGATAGCAATGATATGAATGTTAGTCAGCATGATCCTTGCGTGCGGGGGCTCAGGCGGCACTGCAGGGCGGTGAGGACCGGCGCTTGGTCTGCCAGGGTTTCCAAGCTAGTGCACTACGCTAATTTGTGAATTAGTGCTGCTCAAGACTCCGAGTGTAGCATTGATCGGCTGAATGTTGAGCTGGAAACACAGAGAGTGTCCGACGTTGTGCCACCTGAAGGCAGGTGCCTTGGCAGCGGCACAGGCCTGCGAAAGGTCTTGGTTAGCCGGTTGGGTTTGCCAGTGTGGTGTTGTTTGCGACCGCCTCGCTTGACGTAGTGCAGGGCCAGGTGCTGTAGTGCAAGATTGTCGGGCTTTCTGTCTCAACACCGACCCATACCAGTTTAGAAAGGTGCTAGGCAGACGTACAGCAGTGACATGGAAGCACTGACTTGCTGACGCGATCTCTCCACAAGACTATATACAACCGGGCAGCTCAATGCACGGTGTCTATGGGCCGAAGGCTAATGCTACGGTTGATGAAATTCAGGGTTCCCAATAGGGAATATACCATAATTCCCATAGTTTAGGGCCCTTAACGTAGTGCGGGATTTATATCATCAGCCGTAGTAGCTAATGCACTACCGGACCTTGGGCTAGTCGACTTGCAGGCAACCTACCATCGCCAGTGCGCTCGCCTCCAGGAGAGGTGCCAGGCACGGAGATAAGTATCACCTCATGTACCAGCAATAATAACAACAGGTTTCACAATAATAACCTAGTCATCATATCGTGCAGTATACTACGGAGTATGGGAGGTCGGTAAATTAGGGTCGCTTTTGGGGGTCCGTGTTAGAAGTGTGCCGTAGAATTTTGGAACCTAAGATGGACTCTAATCACGGAATCACGGAACTACCGATACTCCATCATACTGTATCATAGTACATCAGACAAAAAATGATAGTATGATGTTATGTAGTATGATGCGCTATAATAGCATACATGTCCTACGAAGAAGGGCTCATGGCTCAGGCGGAAGCGGCTCAAGAGCGCAGTGCAATGGAGACCTTCCGCCAGAGCGCACCTTGTCATAATAACACCACAGTACCATATTAGTTGCAGTACTAGCAAGAAGAATGATAAACACAAATACGAGCATCAGCAATAACATCACCATTCTCCTTACTAAGAATAACCATGCTAATTTTACGAGAAATGATATCTACAAAAAGTCATCACATTGGGGCTGTTCACTGATCACCTCAGTTTTCTGAGATTTCTGGCCTGCGGTTCGGACACAACATGAGCTTGACCCCTTTTTGTCATCCTCTTATAGCAGGAGGAGGTTTTCAAGTCGAAGATCGAACCTAGTCTTGAAGCTCGGATGTTATGGCTAGGTCTTAAGTCCGGCTATGTGACGAGTTCCTAACTTGAATCTGTGAAGCAGAAAGCTCTCTTCGGAGGCTATGTGAGGGGGGAAAAAGATGGGTGAACGCTTTCGAAGCTTGAAAGACCCAGCCAAGGCCTCAGAGCTGGCCCACTTGAAGTCGGATTGCTCCCAGCTGACTGCCCAGTGCGGCTCTCGGGCCCTCTGTGGCTCACATTGTACTTGGAGGATCATGGGACTGGGTAAGTAAGGTTATAAGTACCTTAATTGGAGTTATAAGTAGAGTTACCCTAGTTATAACCCTACTTACTAAGTCCCATGATCCTTTAAGTAGGCTTCGTCAGGCACTTGGCCCACGTTAAGCTGTCCCGGGCGGGGTGTTTGTCACGGATTTCCAGCTGAAGCAAGAAGGCTTTCAGGAGTTCCGTCGATCTCCCTGTGCATGCATCGCCCCTTTCTTGTGACGATCTTGGGACAGCTGCGTAGCAGCTAAGAGTACTAGACTACGACATAGCCTGCAGATACGACGACTACTTCCACTCCAAATCCTGCTGCTACTCTTACCCCTACTCCGTCTCTCCTGCTACTACTGCTACTGCTACTGCTATTGCTGCTCCTACTCCTACTCCTACTCCCACTCCTCCTGCTTTTCCTTCTACTCCTCCTCCGCCTCCTTCTCCTCGTCCTTCTACTACTATTCCTATTTACATCGCAACCTTGCTTCGTGATCATCCAACCATGCAAGAGGCAAAAATTCCTAGACTTACACCTACACCTACTCCGACCCCTACTCCTACCCCTTACTCCTCCTACTACTACCACTACCACTACCACTACCACTACCACTACCACTACTACTACTACTACTGCTGCTGCTGCTACTACTACTTCTTCTTCTACTACTAGCATGTTATTGGCAGTCGTAGTCTTGTCTTGCAGAGCTCGAGCATGTCGCCCAGTACCAGGCTGGACACTGCGGAGGCCCAGGGCTCTTCGGCAGCTGACCTCGTAACTTTATCTGTCGGAGGAGCTTCGGGGTACTTTAATTGTTTTTTAAACCCTTGGTTCCTTTAATCCTGAAGAAAGAGGTAAAATTACAATTTTTGCTGGAGGACTAATTTCAGTGTAGGGAGCTTGGGTTGAGACTTGCAGGTCTGGGGTGCGATTAAGAGTCATTATTTTTTGGTTTAGGCTTGGAACGATTGGGGTTTGGGATCATGGGGAGGGTCAGACACAGAAGGCAATCAGTCATTTTGCTCCCGGTTTACCCTGGTTTTAAGTATGTTGGTGGTAGCTTGTTGCCCAAAACATCCCTAGATTCCCTTCATTGGGCATTTTTAGAATAGTTGCCGGAGCCTCGTGCCACGCTGGCCATTGGCAGACTTCGAATTGTGTGACAGAGTATGCCCAGAGACTCCAATATCCCTTGATTAAGGGATATACTTTAAATCATATTCGGGATCCTACTATAGTTTAAGGTATACTCCTTAGTTAAGGGATATTGGGGTCTCTGGGTGCCAGTGTAGGCCCAGCGACAGAGCCTCCACCGAGATCTGCAGCTCGCCAAGGAAGGCCGCGGCGGCAAAGGGTTTCCGGATGTGTTTGAACATGATGCCTCGGAGATGCATCGGAGTAAATCGCAGTTCACCAGCCTCCTCAAAAAATGGGCAACATGGACGTTTCTTTTGCAGAACTTGCCAATTGCCCACTTCCATTCCTGCAGGTGAGAAGCAGATGTCCGAAAAGACCATCGAGCTACGGCAAAAGCTGGCAGATGGAAAGGCACTGAAGAAACATGCAGAAACTCTACAAAATGTCTTGCTTAACATTTTCACGGTTTCAAGCATGGCCGGCTTCAGTTTCATAGCTTTCCAAGATGATGATGGGACTGCTCGGCGCTGTCAGCACTGAACGCCCGGTTGCTCCATTATTTCGCCTTGCTGGCATCCGCTAGCAAACCTACGCTGCACACAGTACCCAGATAATTACTCGCACTCGTTTTCTTGACGTGAAGGCAGCCAAACCGCCACAATAGTGTGAGATCAGTTTCCGGTTCGTAGCTGTCCTACGGTTATTTAATGATCAGCCCATGGCGCCGGACTCACCGAGTCTTCTTGCTCGGTCTCGTGTTTATACTGGGGAGTGAAAGAGGTGGCGTGTCATGGAACCGCATTCGGGGCTTAGCTGGAAACTGTCTCTGTGCACCCCTACCTGCCCAGCCCTGGTTGCGAATCGGCATGTTCGTGGATGTGCTTTCTGGACCGAAGACCTGGAAGAGTTGTCGAGTGCTGCATGTTTCTCCAGATGGGAAGCTCTGTATTGTACGCTACACTGACTCCCCAAATGTGGTCCGAAATGTCGACATCAAAGACCGGATAAGGGCCACTCCGGAGACGTTGACATTGTACAATGCCACGCGGTTGGATGACGCATCGATGGCTCCGGGCAGCCCTGTAACAGGAGTCATTACAAACCTGAAACCGTATGCTGCCTTCGTGGACATCAGCTCGGAGAAAGAAGCTGTCCTTGGATTCACGGAAGCGAATCTAAGTGATCTCCGTGTTGGGCAAGGGGTGGAATGCGAAATCGCCACGAAACGAGGAGGCAGATGGCAGTTGGCGCCAAAAGGAACCTTTGGCTTGGAGGAAGTGGCCTTGCATCGATTCCACACCCAGGGCCCAAAGGCAGGGTGGCTCGCAGGCCGCGTGGTGGGTGCCGAAAGGTACTGTCTTTATGTGAATGTTGAAGCTCCAGGCCTTTCTCACACAGTTTGGGGTGAAGTCTATGCTGACCAGATCAGAGACGGCTACGTGGGTGATGCCCGCTTGGAGTATAAGGTGGGCGATGCAGTTCGGGTGCGCGTCTTGGAGGTGGGAGTTTCCGAAAATAAGGGGTACCTGGTGCCTTCTGTTGGGGTCCTTATAAGAAGGATCCTACTATTTAAGGTGCTATCTTAAGGTCCCCGATTTTCAGAAACTCCCAGGTGGACGTGCCAAGGGAGCGCCTGTTGCTTTCCATGCGCGAGGACTTCTCGAGCAGCTGGAAGGTTTGCCTGGACGAAGCACGCCGAGTAGCCCGCTTAGAAGGTGAGACTTGGTACGATTCTACAGCTCAAGTCGTGACTTCTGGGGGATTTCTGGTTCTGGCCAATCTTCTCGAAGAGCCAGTCCCAGCTTTTTTGCCTGGAGCTTGGGTGCCCCGCCGGTTGCGCCAAAGCTTGCGCGAAGGTTCGAAGGTGTCGGTCCGAGTGGCTGATGTTGATGTAGGAGGAGGGAGAATCGTCGTTACGTCGATGCCCATAGAAAACGGAGTGCCTTTTGAGGACGGTGGTGTTTAATCCTTCCCAGACGCACCTTGTTACAAAGACCTGGCGAGACCACTATGTATAGAGTCGCAAGCATGATTGATCTTGGCAGGGCAGAGTCAGCATTCTTCTCTCACCTTCGCCTTCTTTGCCGCACAGGCGAAGGCACAGAAAGAGCGAGATCAGGCCGAGACTGCTTGCTGACGCACATGACTTCGAAAGCGTCGGGAATCTGGCTGTGTGCGGTGTGCAGTGTCGAATGCAATCTATCCATTGTCTGCTGGAGTATGGGCTCAGGAAAGAAGTAAAGTGTTGCTTTTTGAAGACTCGATTTAAGTTTCATTTTCCATGGAGGTGGTCAGCACGGCCATCACAAGCTTACTGACTACGAGGGTCATGTTCTTATAAACAGGATTTCACTTGAAGTGTAAATGCACTTACATCACAACTTGGTAGATCTGGTCGCCTCACCGGGCACATGCCAAAGCAGGGAGGAAGCACGCGCCTTGCCTGTTCCAGATCAAATGAAGGCTTCAGCGACCCTCCCGTCCTTCGGCTTCAAAGCAAGTTGCAGCGTGAATGGCCTGCCTCCCCTAGACAAGCCTTTGCATCAAATCTATGGCCGTAGATGGACGACAGAGACCAAGCGCTACCTCCATGTGCACAAGGAACGCAGATGGCTTGCCCTGAAGCACAAGCAACAGTTTCTGGACTTCTCTCCTCAAGAAAGGGTGGAGCTACGCCGCTACTTCGATGAGCTTGCGGGGATCAACGGTAGGATCAGCCTTGAGCAGCTCGAGACAATGCTGATTTCCCTGGGTCTTGCAGAGAACCCGAGGGAAGTTCGGTTCTTGGCATCGCAAGTGGACGATCTGAAAGTTGGAGAACTGGATTTCGAACAGTTCCTGGAGCTCGTCCTCCGGAGAGGAGACTCGAATCTGGTGACCGTTTTTATGCAGATGGCAACGGGAAAGCTGGGGAACTCGAATCTCAATTTCAAGACCCTCATCTCTGCATATCGCCGCCAGCTTTTCCTTGATGCCTCCGGAGCCGGCACCACTGGTCGCCAGCAGCTGGGCGGCAAGGTGCTGCAGAGTTTCGCCGATCTGCAGCGGGGCAGATGGGAGGAAAAGATGGCGACTCTTGACACGGAGGCGCAAGCGGTAGGCATTGAAGACCCCGACTTCAACGTAAATGGCCATGCTCCGGTCGGCGGACTGGAGATGATCTGGCGAGGGGTTTGCGCAGAAAACGACTTGTGGCCAGCTCGGCCCATCGCCGAAGACGGCCGGAAGAAGCGGCTGTTGACCAAGCCTCCTTCTCCACGGGACATCCTTCGAGCCATCCAAAAAGACTCTCCCAAACGGAAGACATTGGTCGGCAAACACAACACCATCTTCGTGAATGCACCCTCGGCGTCGGAGGACAAGTAGAACGATCATAGGAAATGCAGCACGTGGCTGCGCCGAGACTTGGCCCAACCAACTGCGGCGATTACTTGCTTAGGCGACTGAATTCAAGCACGATTGAACTGTTTATCTCGCAGGATTTCACCTGGTTGACGAGGTCTGGCGATACAGTCAGTCCTCTTGATGGGCATTGAATAGCTATGCCCAAAATTCCCCGACCCATTCAGAGCCAATGTGGCACTTTGTGGGTTCCGCCCTTGCCCAAGAAGACTTGTGTTCACTGGCGAAGAAGAGCTAGGATCAAAATCTAGCTGGTTCCCTTTTGGCCATGTCCGAACTTGCAAAAGCATACACCTTTTCCTCGGGCACCACCATGTCCTGTCAGGGTCAGCTCCGGCGAGAAGAAGTATCGGCTCGCACCCTAGCAGTGCAGTTGTGTCGTGTTGTGCTCACCAGTGTGATGGGCAAGTTCCAGTGGCCAGGCCTGTGAAAGGAGATTGTCGTCGCTTAAAGACAACACTCAGGATGCAAGATGTTACTTCGATTCTTGAATATTCTTGACAGTTTGGAGCTTTCAAAGAGCACAGTCTGCAGGAGCTTAAACGGTCTCTTGGCGAGGAGCGAGATTCAGCACAGAAGACCGAGACGAGGCTTCGCGAGCAGGCCAACATTGGGATGGGTAGGCATCGGAACTCGCACATGGGACTCTAATCTTGCGTCCGAGCATGGGAGTCAGACGCACTTGCGCAGATGCAGCCCCACCGCGACTCACCCCCGCCCCATTCGTCTGCCGCACCCACACCCACACACCCACCCTCAAAATGATATGAGGCTCCCCAAGCTATCCCCGCGTGGATCCATGAGCGAACGAAGCACGCGCGTTTTCATCGGGTGTAGGGAGAGCACCCCCGCCGTCCCCCTCCAAAATGCAAAATGACATTGCATGTATAATATAGGGGTGTGACCCCCTTAATCAGCCCACGTGCGCACACAGACACACCCACCATTCAGACCTGTGCACCGCTATAATAACATTTCTATAGCACACCGCCGGGCATTTGCGCCGCATGTGTGTGCGCATGTGCTGTAACTTGTGAGCGTTGATACAGTATCTGACTGTTTGCTTACACAACCCAAAGTATGTAATCACGCGCGGGCATGTGTACGCATTCCAGCGTGTGGCCCAGCTCACTTGGAGGTTCATGGGTGTAGTTATAAGTAGGGTTATAAGTAGGGCAACTATACTTATAACCCATATTAAGGGGACTTATGACCCCACTTATAACTACCCATGAACCTCCAAGCAATGCAGGTTGGCCGGAAGACTCGGTACGAACAGGAGCTGTCGTCTCTGAGGGACCAGCTGGACAAGCTGCGAAAGGAAGGCCTGGAGTTGCAGGCTCGGTGAGTCTGGTTCATTCTGATATGAAGTGGCTAGTGACGCATCATCGCTTCTTGTGTGAGGAGCAAAACCACGAAAAAGTAAAGGAGGTGAAACAGCTCCAAGAAAGGTGGGATGTTGCAGCTGTCTCGCCCATTGAATTCAAGCTCTTCGCCACCGCCAGGCTCTTATGCGAGCAGGAAAGGCATCGCAGCGAACTTCAAGCAGTCCTTGCCTCAGGCTCATCGCAGCAAATACAGGCTATGATCTCTAGCTGCACGCTCTAGGTCGTTCAATGTCTTTCCACGCAAAGTCTATCAGAAGTAGCAGCACGCACGCGCGTGCATGGTATAGAAGGCCTTGGCCTGTAAGCGGGATCAAGGCCTGTAAGCGGGATGTGTGGAAGTGCCACGAACCGCTCGGTCATGTGCTAGCGTGCCGGCCAACTGGAACGAAGCCGAAGTCAAGACTCAGCGATTATCAGCAAAGACTTGGGACGAGAGCGAGGCAGGTTGATGTTTCTTCAAGTTAGGTGTGGAGTTGGGTTGCGAGAATCGACGTTTCGTGGCGATGTGCACCCGTCGAAAGTTGAACGAAGAACCTCATCGGGCTGGGTCCGAGTGTGAAGAACCCAAGCTACACAGCCAATCCAGCCTTTTGGATCAAGACTGTCAGATCTCGACGACTCCTTTGGCCAAGGCGTTTTGGCAGTCTGTACAGAGGCTCCGAGCAAGCACCGAGTGTACAGTGGTGTAGAGACGGGCTTGCCGCATTGCGGCATTGCACCTGTTCAAGATGAAATATTTTCTGTTGCCCCTTCTGTGCATCCTGGGCACAACAGGATTCCTCACCGAAGGGTCAGGCTCTGCGACCGAGGCATCCCCTGGGGTGCCGCAGAGTTTTGGCAGGGCAGAGCCTGGGCTTAGCGGAGGTAGCCGAACCTGGCCCTGGCCGCTTTATCATGCAGCAGCCTCTGCGTTGACAGTTGCAGGCCTAACCCTGCAGATTCGGAGATACCAAGGGCAGGTCGGAAAGGAGACGAAGATTCCCAGAAGTGCGGGCACTTCAGCAGTGCAGTCTCACGACGTGGGCTATGCTGCCTGCACACCTCGTAGCCAGGTGATGCCAACCGTGGATGAGACAGGATGTGGCCGACACTACCTTGAATACTTCAACTCGGACCCCGGGGAGGAGGAGGAGGACAGGCCTCAGGCATGCCGGCGGTTTGGGAGGGTGCGGACACTCCCGAACCTCCGGACACTGCCGAAGTTCAGCTCCATCTCGGCCCCTGTGCCTTTGGAGAGCACCGCTGGGGATCTGCACATGTCCGACACGTTCGACCCTGTCTCCGAGATGTCAGCCATGTCGGAAGCTGCACCCTCCCTTCTAGAGCTTGGCTGCTTGTTCAACAGCCTTCACAGCCGGGCAAAGGAGGCTGACTTCCATTTCATGGAAGCCGTCACGGATGAGCTGAACGAGCGCTACAAGGTCGGTTTGACTCCAGCCGACGCGCACCGCATCTACGACATTCTCAGTAAGCGCGGGACGGAGGAGATCTCCCGCGAGAACTTCATGCAAACTCTGCATGATCTTTTGTCTGCCGTGGTGGGCTCTAAGCATCACCTCTCCTTTCGGAAACTCCGTGTGGTGATGGCTACAGCCTTTGAGCGCTTCGACAAGGACGGTGATGGCCACATTTGCGTGGAAGAGTTCGCTTGTGCTCTTCGGAGCTATGACATTCGCCTAGGCTGGGTTCTTGTCAAATAGGGCTTTATATAGTTTGAATTACCATAAGAAGGAAACCATAAATCATTCATTGTAGATCCTGATTACCTGGTAACTTAAGTTCGACTCCTTAACAAGAGCCCCAGGGCCCTCCGAGACGATGGCGCTCTTTCGCTTCCTGTCCCCGGACGAGAAGGCCCTGACCCGCGAGGACCTCACGGAAGCAACTTCCTTCACCGATCGCTGTCAACTTGCCTTGGAAGGTGCGCAGGAGAAAGCTGCCGAGTCGACGGGCCTAAGTAGCGCCTCGAAAGTCTTGGGCTCGGAGGGGCAGGGCCCCGAGTGCTGGATCCAGCGCATTCAAGGAGCCTTCTCCGGACGAGATGCCCCGGAGATCTTGACCGGCGCCGTCGATCTCGCAACGACCTCCATGGCAGCGAGTTTGGTGCTCATGCACGCTCACACGCACCCACACGATGCAGGCAGTGTTGGTCTCGCCTTTCAGTGGCTGGAGCAGCTTCGTTCGGCTGTAGACAACATCTCCGCTTCTGTGCTAGACGTGGTCGATTCCGGCTGCCTATTGCCACTGCTGATCTCCAGCTTCTTTGGCGCTTTGAAGTCGCTGGCGGCGACTGACCTTGTTGCTTTATCGCTCTTTGAGAATAATGTTGTATTTTTATTGTAATACAGTTTAATAATAATAATAAGAAGAAGAATACTATTTTTATGCTGGCTCTAAGGGCTGCTAAGGTTGCTCTGGATCAAAACGAGGCTCTGCTTTATGCCCTCAACTTCCACGACAAGGGCTGTTCTGTGAGCCTTTTCCAGCGTCTCTTGTCCTGTGGCGGCTGCCGCTGGGGCGAAGCCCCAGCCGGGGAGACCATTGCCTCCGAACAGGAGTTGCGAATTCTAATTCGCGGCAGAGCTTTGCGCAAATCTCGGGACACTGCTCAGGAGGAGCTGGAGTTGGGCGCGGTTTTGCAAAGCTCGCAGGAGGATCAGGTCATTGCCACGGAAGCCGTCACCTTCGTGGCTTGGGACATGCACAAACTCGACCAGTTCATCAGCAATGCTCAGGACCGTCAGCTTGTGAAGCTCGTCGACGAGATGATGCAGGATGCCTCGGTGGCTGCTGAGCACCGCACCGTCAAGGCTCCGAAGACTGCAGAGTCAGAGGCCTCCGATGGATGGACGTCGCTGCTATCTCCCTTCAGCTCAGCTTTGGGAGAGCACTGTAAGCGTAAAGGTTTCGTCCACTGGCTGCATCTTCTGGAAGGCCTGCAGCATATCCTCGAGAAGGATGCATCCGCTTGGGAGAAGATGGACACTCTACTACTCTTAGGAACTATAGATTCTTTTCTTCTAACATAACTTAAGGGCCTTAAGGGGGTTCAGAAGAATCATGTTTTCGTTTTCGTATAGTATTACTTAAGGGCCTTAAGGGGATTCACCAGAATGTTGTATTCATTCTTGTTCTAATTCTTATAATATAGCTTGAGGGCCTTTGGGGGATTCATCAGAATATCATGTTCATTCTTGTTCTAATTCTTATAATATAACTTGAGGGCCTTAAGGGCCTTTTCATAAGAAGGTTTTTTTCAGTCTTCTTCTAAGGGCGGCTAAGGACAAGTGTCGCTCCCTGGTCATGGACAGTGCGGGCAGCTGGGTGGTTGTCAATATTAGGGTCCCTTTTCGGGTCCTTATTATCATACGGCACCTAGTGCCCTTTTAGGTTATCCAAAAAGGGACCATAATACCCTTTTAGTTTATCCAAGACAGGGACCATAATTTTGACGACCAGGCAGCTGTTTCGAGAGCGTCTCGGCCCTATGCGACCTCTTCGGGGCAGCATCGGTGCTAAAAGGACGCTTTGTCATAGTTGGGTAACATGTTACATGACGTTACATGTAAACCCAATAAGGAATTAAAAGTTAAAACTGTTATTGCCAGATTGTGCTGCCAGAAAAACTCTATCCCAACCATGAGCTAGGCTGGTCGCAGACGCAGCAGCTTTCCCCGGATGACATGCTTCAGCTTGCGCCACTCATGGCCCTCTCGGCCCTGGTAGCCTGTCGTGCTGCCGGGCCTACCGGGTGTGAGAGCAGGTGGGAACTTCCGAAAACATAGACTAGGGTTTTGGCGTGTATTATACTACGATTATCATAAGGAACCCCCAAAACAGTATAGGTAATCATTAAGGCCCTCATATGGGAGTTTCCGAAAATAGGGGACCCTAGTATAGTACTCTAAGTAGTAGGATCCTTATTATAAGGACTCCAAATAAGGTACCCCCTGTTTTCGGAAGCTCCCAGGTCCTGCGATTCCTGGAGCCACTCTGATGGCTTTGATGTCTCGACTGCTGCAACCCTTTGAGCCGCGAGCAGGTCGGTTCTTGCTTGTACAAAACAAGCGCAAGAATCTTGAACTTCCCCTAACTCGTGTCAGGGGTTTGCACGGGCAGTCTGAAGTGCAGAGGGGGCAGGTCCCTGTATAGGAAGTGATGTAAGTCTGCCAGTCCGTGCAATGCGCGAACATCTCGTGGCAGACTCAGAGAAGACCTGCCGGCATGTACAGCACTTTGTCAGATCGTGTTGGGCGCCTGGGGCGACATGCTTTCCAATAAGTGGCTGTCCAACTATAGACATCGACTCCGATGCTTTCTTGAGGCGTGGGGCCAGAGGCATCGCGAGCTCGTGGTGAATTAGTGCACGAACACAGTTCGGGACCCGATCGATGATGCGCGAAGAAATCACAAATGCCAATGAAGGGAGCGTTTTCACGCACCGAGGGACCCGATCATGCTAGAAGGCAGTAGCGGGCAAAAGTACCTGCTTGGCCTGAACGCGAATTCGCGTGTTCTGCTTTCGCTCAGATGACGGTGGCTGCAGGCAGCCGGGCAAGATGAAGTCTTTCAGGGCTGCACAGCCGCCGCAGTTCAAGCAGAGCAAGCATTTTTCGTCGTGAGCACCGCCACGGAAGTGCGACTTCATACCCATGTTTTTGGTATCTTATGGTTCTTGAGCAGTTTTATATAATTAGTAACAATTAGTATTATAGTGTTATATCCAAGACTTCATCACAAACACGGAAGGTCCTCACGAGCTGAGAGTTCCTGCTGTTCCGTCCCGTGTCGGGGCAGACATGTACTCCGTGATCTGCTGCTTTAATCATAAGGACCCTTAGGGGGTAGAGGGCCTTAATATCTATGATCCCCCTACCCCCTTTTATAAGGGTCCCTATGATTTAATTAGACCACAAGGCTCGAATTCTTGGCTGGGTCGCGGAATGTGGCTAGAGGCTGCAGAACCCAGCCTCGTAAATCTCACAAATGCCTAGTGACGCACTTGCGATTGCCATCCAATTTCTGTTTTCCTTGACGTGGGCACACTCATGTCCATCGTCACGCTTGAAGCAGTCGTGCTTTGTTGAGATTGGAAAACGAGGACGCTACTCTTAACCCACCTGCTTATCTGAGGAACTTTTAGCCCCCAAGACCAAGTCCATTACCAATCCATTCGGTTGATGATCGAATGCAACCTGCATTACCCACAATACGGACTATGCCATACTTCCGAGTCTAGGGTCATTTGAATTTGGGGAGTGCAGGATTTGCATCATCAACCCTTACTAGTCCCAAAGCTTGCGGGTTGAAGCCCAAAAACAAAGAAAACTTTCCAGTTCCGAGGCTGAGACCTGCAGGGCTCATACGAAGCGCCTGGAGGCTGAGCTGACTGGCGCAGAGGGTGCCAAGGCCAGGACAGCGGTGGCTCTCTTATACAACTAAAGAACGTCTCAGTGTACCTACAGACACACTTTGTTACATACACATCTACATGTATCGGTAAAGTAGATGCGCACTATGAACATACAGACACATAGGTACCTTACATGCTTCAGAACGCCCCTGCACGGGATGGTGAAGCAGACAGAACCCTAAACCTCCAAACCCCTATCTTGGATTGTCCGTGTGTGAACGCCGAAACCCCTAGTCACTAGTCCCTCAACCAGGCTGATGTGGAGCTGGAGCTCGCAAACCTGAGAAAGCTTGCTGCAGCCCCGGAATTTTAATCACCGCACTGTGGGGTCTGGTTGCCGCTTCGTGAACTGTTCGTTTGGTTTACGAATGTTTCAGGTGCAGAGGTTTCCGCTGTTGATGGTTTCGGGCCCAGGGTTCAGGACAAGTTGTATGAAGGCCAATTGAAACAAAGGGAGTTGTCATCTAGCATTTCAGATTTTAGATCCTCTGGTGAAAGGCAAGCTCTTGGCTCCTTGCCGTCCCTGCAAGTTCCAAGCAGAACTGCAGATCGACAGATCGGCACTGGATAGGTTGTGACAGGAAGTGCGACAATAGTTGGAAGCGAAATGTATGATCGACCGGGTTGCTCAGCATCGACTAAAATAGGCACGAGCGATCGATGCCGCAGCACTCTGGGCTGGACGTATGGTGGCGGCACAGCGGATAATTCAAGCGTCATGCTTCCTCCTGGTGCATGTCGTGGCCCCTGAAGTTCCGAAGGAATCGGGCCCGGGCCTCCCCCTGTCTTGCAGCCCACTGTGCTCCAACGGAGACCAGCCCGCCTTGGATCGGGTGGAATCCCTGGAAGCTTTGGCACAGCTGCATGACACGATTCTTCGAAAGGACTGGCCTAGTGCCGTCTCCGAAGCAGGTTTTAGTCTTGACCTGAGAGCCTTCGTTGTGGCATTGAAAGAGCTTTCCGATGCGAACACCGTTCCCTCCACATGTGAGGCATTGCATTGCAGCAACATCGCGCTACTGGATGCTCTCCGTTTAGCTCTGCAGGAGTGCAGTCTTGTGCCGACAGCAACTTCGGCAGTCTTCCTGTTGCATTCGCCCTCCGACGATGTCTGCTGTGGCGCACTGCGCGCAGCAGCATACGTAGCCAGCGCAGAGGCACTGAGTCAGGCAACTTCTGCCCGCCTTGCTGGATCTCGGTCTGAAACAGGGGCATTCTTCCGGAAGGGGCAAGAAATATACATAAGCTGGCTGCAGTGGCTACAACACCACCATGGACTTGAAGGTGCAGCACTTGTTCTGCAAGCGTTCCTTGCACCCGGAACACTCGAGCTGTTTCAGATACTTTGCCGAAGCACCTGCCCATATTCACAGCGACAGCAAGGCCTGTCAAGAGGCTGCCCACATTCCATGGCCTTGCAGGACATAACTCGAAGATGGATGGCCTCCTTCCGTGACTCTTTCAGCTGTCGAGCATGGCTGGAGCACATGCAGTCAGAATCGCTCTTGGCAGTGGAGTTCTTCACTCCAGGAGCGTTCGAAAGCGTCTGCCTCTCGGATGCTCTCAAGGCCTTGGACTCTGCGTGTGCAGAAGACGGTATCAAGGCTAGGGCTCTGCTGCTGCCGACGGAAGGAGAGCCAAGGATTCGATGGGCGATGTCGCACGAATGGAGTCGTCGGATCAGCTTCGATGCAGCTCCACTTCAGCACCTGAGGGATGATTGCGAAATCCCTATCCTGATGCTGGATGTGACGCCAGGGAAGCAGATGAAAATTCTCCGGAGCATGGGCCATTTGCTGAGCCAAGGGCGTGTTTTCGGGATTCTTACTCGCCTGTACAATCCTCATCATTGGCCAGCTGCAGATGATCCTTTGAGTGTGTATGAGTTTTTGGTTTGGCATGGCTATCTGCCCGGTCCGCTTGACGATCCGGAAAGCACTTACACCGCCGTCGGGACAGTTCAGCTTGAGGTGGCGACGGCCGGGGCAGCAACCGACATTCCCATCATCGCTCTGCCGAGGCAGCTCCGGCCCGCTGCGCGTTCCGCTTCGAATCCCGAGGTCACCTTTGTCATAGTTGGGTAACATTTTGCGTTTTTATGGACCCTACTTAAACCCCAAAAGGAATCAAAATGTACACGTTAAATGCTATCCCAACCATGAGCTAGGTTGCAGAGGCCTTCACTTCGGCGCTCCGGCGAAGTTGCGTAGCAGCGCAAGACCACCGGCCCAATAGTTGGGTGGAGGTGGATCTAGAAAAAGTCCTGAAGAGGCTCCGGCAAATCGCCGTACAAATGTCCTTACCCAAGCCATCTCGATCTCGACGACTCAGTGCGATGTTGGCCTCGGATGCCTTCGGTCACGATGTCCTTCTGGCAAGCTTGGCCTTGGCTGCCTCGCCACATGTGGTTGCCTTGTTTGTGGAGAGCATGGAGCTGGCGCTTCATTTGACTACGAATTTGGCCTCGGTCAGACAAAGGCCTAAACGGCAGCCACAGGTGGTGCTCTTGCACCAACCTCCACGGAGCAATCTATGTAGCCTGGTGGAAGAAGGCGTCGCCATCGCGGTGCAGTCGTTCCGGTGGCTCCGGGCAAATCACAACCGATGCGAGCACCCGGTGCAGATCCACCTAGAAGTTGATACGGGAATTGGGCGAACGGGCCTGAGACCTGGGATTGCCCTGGCCGCCATCTACTTCGTTCTACAGCGCCCGAATCGCTTCCTACTCCGAGGCATCTACACCAAGCTTTGCTGCATCAGAGACCTAACTCTCACAGGAAGGGCCTTGAGACAGATGTCTCGGATGGAGCTTCGTGCCCAGGCAGTTTCTCATGGATCCGGCAAACCCCGGCGCTTCGCAGTTCAGGTCGGTGGGGGCCTGGCAAGAACGGAGGCTGCTCCTATCGTTGCTGCTCTCCCAGCGAGCTGGTGGATACGAGTTGGCCAGGGTCTCTTCGGCGATCCTGCTCTTGGCAACCTTGCGCCGCTGGCCATGACGTGGAAGACTTCCGTGTCAAGCACAGGCTGGCTGCCTGAGAACACACACCTGGGCTATTGCCCGCAGGGTGCAGACTGTCATGCGAACAGAACCCAGCTGTTGAGCCTTTGTCGCAGTCAGCTTCTCATAGTACTTCAGACACTCATGAAGTGCAATGACACTATCGGATTAGCCCATTGCTTGGTGCTTGGTATATGTTCGTGTATAGGATTTATAGTGGCTCCGACCCGTACAAGTAGCTTCCGGGGTGCCAAGGACAGGAACTTACGCAGCTATCCTGCCGGTGGGTTTTGCTGAGTTCCATGGAGAGGCGGTGTGGAGCGGCAGCGGGCTGAAGCTTCCTGTGTTGAATTCGGCTGCGAGCACGACTAGCGTGGAATTCCCGGAGCATGCGCCTCTGAAAATTGGAGAAGAGGTGACGCATCTTGCCTGCAAGACAGAAGATAGGATGTGTCGGCAGGATGCATGGAAGAGGTGAGGGACCCAAGCATGCAAGACAGAAACGTATGGCAGTGCGAAGACGTCTCATCCAAGGCTGTGTTCCAACTGTCCGCTAAATACCATCCCTTGGAGCATACCGCGGTTTCCCAAGACGGATGCGCAGACCTTCATCTCGTGTTCGCCGGTGGTCTGGTAGGACGGGCAGTGCGCCTAAGCCAACGATCACACTTTGCGACAGGCATGCGAAGTTCGAGACGTAGCAGGCCAGCGACGTGAAACTTCGCGCGGAACCAAGCAGATTCCTGCCTCTGGACCGCAGGCATTACCCCAATGCACAATGCGGGGAACACTGCGGCGAACTCCAGCCAGTCGCCCGGGCAAGATTCCATTATTGCAGAACATGGTCAAGCATGTCAACCTACATCAGTCCGATGCTTCCCGAACCGCGTCTCCTACCACTTGCAGGCACTTCAGCAGGCCTAGGCGTAGCACACATTTCGGCCGTGCCTGTTCGACTGATGCCGGTGCAAACCGAAAAGATGTGACGCTGCAAGATTGGCTTTGCAAATGAGAAGTTCCATGTCTTTTCTTGCTGGCTTTTGGGCAGCAGATTCGTTGCTGAGGCGGCGGACCTGACTGAGCGCAGCCCCCATTACAGACAGCATTGTTCCGGAAGAAACATCGAACCGAGAAAACTGCCCTGATTTTCTCAGGCAGTGTGCAGAGCAGCGCCGCTCTCGAGATGAGCACCTGCAGAAGCAGAGCGCGGGAGAGGCCCCGGCTGACCGGCCACGGAGTGTGTTGATGCACTGCCGCCCCGAAAGTGCGAAGCGAATTGGTTCCAAGAGCCCATGATTAATAATGAACAAAAATAACATTCATAATAATCAAAAGAATAGTAATAATCATAATAACAATAGTAACATAAATGCAACATTTTTATTATCAATGATGGTCCGCCGAAGGTCACCGTGGAACGTTTGCGGCTCGAGCTGCAGGAGCTGAATGCTGATCGAGCAAGGCTGCAGCGCGAGGCCACGACCGCGAAAAATGAGTGGTTCTCACCCGCCAACCCTAAACCCTAAACCGCTATGAGTCAGGCGGACCAAGCAACCCAAGAGCGCAACCGCCTTGAGGCGCCTTCTCGGAGAACCATCGCAAAAGCTGCAATCAGCCGTGCACCCTCTGAGACTCTCTGAGCCATGAGGTCGAGCTGCAGGTTGCGGCACCTGCTCTAGATGAGGTGATGCGTCGGTGCAAGCATTTGGAGGATCTCCGGTGGCTTGCCTACAGTCTAGAGTCCAGAAGGCCGTCTAGAACCATGCTGCATCACACAGTAGGACCAGACTAATTATGCATTACTATATAACATGTATATACAAATACAAATATATAATTAAGGTGTATATATATATATATATATATATATATGCATGTGTATATATACACATGTTTTTTACATGGAGTATATATGAGTGTGGCAGCATGGGGTTGGAGCTACAGTTCAGCAGGAACGTCTCGTGGAGCGAGTGCGGGAGCTGGGAGATGAGCCGTAGCCTCAGCACTTGCATCAAAAGTTCTAGAAACCAAAGCTAGAACGGATTTCGGGGCCTTGGGTTTGGGGTCTAGGGTTTTGGGGTTGGCGCTAGCACAAAATCCAAGCCCATGCTGAAAAAGAGTTTAGGGCTTCGGGTTGCACGTTGCGGTTTTCGGGCGGCGGCTGAAGAGCAGCGGAAGAGGCAGTGCTGGCAGTCATCAAGTCCGGTTTCAAAAGGGTTGCGCAAGTCCGATTGCACGACCAAGAAGGAGATGTCGGCTGTCTTCGTTTCTTCCTGCGCAAGAGAAAGATCGCAAGGTCTGACCGTGTACAGCGACTCCAAGAGCAAGCCGAATCTGCCAAGGACACATGCCCTGTGTCGATCCATGCATGTCAAAAATCAGATTGTCCTGCCACACAGGGTGAGCCGGAAACACATCAGGGAAGAGAGAGAAATGGTTTTGGACAGGCAGACAATTAGGGACACGAAAGCACCGTGTCAAAGCAATTGCGGGATTCTTCTTTCTGCAGCTTTTGGAATGCAATTCCTCCAGGCACGGCTGCGGGCCATGGAGAATCAGAACGAAGCCCTGGCGAGAAGGCTTCAGCATGAAGCTAAGTTCTCCTGTCAACTTTCGGCACAGCCCCTTGAGTGAGCACGGCAACCCCAAGCCCTTCTTCCCGGCGGCCGCCGTGGTTGCGGAATTTGCTTTCGGGACTTGCGGGCTTTCCATGCGGCAGCCAAACGACACTGACTGACACCGAGAAGTCATCCCCATGTCCTGTTTGGCTGAATACTCTGCTACCTCCGCCAGCGAGGGAACCTGAACAGCCTCGCCCGGCCTGGAGTGGCGTTGCACTGGTTCAAAGTGAGGTCTCCTCGGTCGCTGCAGAGCTCGGCAACGAAGGCAGGAGGTGTTTTACAGCACACCTGAGTAGAGCGGTGGACAACCCTGGGCTTCGTCTTAAGAACGCCGAAGTCTGAACCTCTTAAGCCCCAAAAAACCTGGAACCCTGAAGCTGTGAAGCCTCAACTGCGTAGGTCCCTAGCAATGGCGCGCATGAACCACCGGACCATTACCGGGACGACCATGAGGACTACCCACGACCACCAGCACGACCACGACCACCACGAAAAATCTCAAGAGACAACCGGACCACCTCGTAGAAACCAAGACCACCAGGACACCACCTTGACCGCACAATGCTTACCCCATCTGTTGGCGGGAGCAGATAAGCGAGCATGTATTGGCGGGATTCAAAGAACAGGGCCAAAATGCTGTTCCCGGATTCAGAGACACGCCCACCATACTTCCTCTCAAGTACTGGCGGGATTCAGGAAGACTATGGTAATGCTTCTCCCGTATACTGGCGGGATTCAGTAGCATGCCCAAACTGACTTCAGAAATTTCGATTCGAAAGGGAGGCCAATGGTTTTCGAATCTACAATCGATCCGGCTTTTCGGGAAGTTGCGCCTGCGCATCGCACCACAGCCTCCCGACCGGCGCGCTTCCAACTTCGTACTCCAAGACCCCAAGCGCAAGAACCCCATAGCAACATCATGTGTACCAAATTATTTGGAGAACCCCCTTACCACAGTGTTTATTTAGAAAATCCCCGCACCGCGTTGTTTAGAGAACCCGAAAGAAGTCAGGCATATCCGCCGCCACGACGCTTCCTACAGCCCGACGTCCGGCCGCCCGTTCAGGCCGCTACTTGCAGAAAAATGGGACCCTAAACCCTGAATGCAATATGGCTTTCGGTTTGTTGGCGTTTGGATGTAGGGTTTGGAGTTGTGACTGTGCATGTAGTGACTGATGCGAGCTTGAAGCTTGCAGTAGTAGTAGTAGTAGTAGTAGTAGTAGTAGTAGGAGTAGGAGTAGGAGTAGTAGCAGTAGCAGTAGCAGTAGCAGTAGCAGTAGCAGTAGCAGTAGCAGAAGCAGAAGCAGTAGCAGTAGTAGTAGTAGTAGTAGTAGAAGTAGTAGTAGTAGTAGTAGTAGTAGTAGTAGTAGTAGTAGTAGTAGCAGTAGTAGTAGTAGTAGTAGTAGTGGTGGTAGTAGTAGTAGTAGTAGTAGTGGTAGTAGTAGTACAGCGGCAATCGCCCGCAACGTGCTGAGCCCGCTCGCAGGGCGTCCAATTGAAAAGTAGTAGTAGGTGGAAGTTGTAGTAGTCGTAGTAGTAGTAGTAGTAGTAGTAGTAGTAGTAGTAGTAATAGTCGTAGTCGTAGTCGTAGTCGTAGTCGTAGTAGTAGTCGTCGTCGTGGTGGTAGTGGTAGTGGTAGTGGTGGTAGTGGTGGTAGTAGTAGTAGTAGTAGTATTAGTAGTAGTAGTAGTAGTAGTAGTAGTAGTAGTAGTAGTAGTAGTCGTAGTAGTAGTAGTAGTAGTATTAGTACGAATAGTTGTAGCAGCAGCAGCAGCAGGAGCAGTAGTAGTAGTAGTAGTAGTAGTAGTAGTAGTAGTAGTAGTAGTAGTAGTGGTAGTAGTTGTAGTAGTAGTAGTAGTAGTTGTTGTCGTAGTAGTAGTAGTAGTAGTAGTGGTAGTAGTAGTAGTAGTTGTTGTTGTTGTTGTAGTAGTAGTAGTAGTAGTACTAGTAGTAGTAGTGGTAGTAGTAGTAGAAGAAAAAGTAGTGGTAGTGTTTAATAGCGGGAGTAATTGCGTGTTCCGTACTCCCGTTGTTCGTTTCTAAGTCGGGTGCGTGTTTGTTTTCGAGGTGTTTTTGCCTTGTTGCTCAGTTGTTTTCTGCCTTTCCTGCTTGCTTTCAAAACTCAAGTAGTGTTCCGTCTTCTGTTTGGCTTCCGTGTCCATGATAACGCGGATTATGCATGTAATCATCATTGTCTTCCTCCTCATTGATTTCACGGCGATCGTCTAGCAATGAGTAGACACATCTGGAGTGCAAAACAAACCAGACGCGGCCGCCTGTCCCAGCGACGGTCGCACGAGAGAGTCTCGAGTTCCGCGCGCCCACCACAAAGACACTTCGAGAATGGACCCCGCGACGAACACCAAGATATTTGCGACACTTCTCCAACGCAAAAACCACAACAAAAGCCATGAACACAAATCGGCAAAATATCGTCTCATGTACGAAAACCGCAAAAGTTCAAGGTTTGTGAGCATCTCGAAGGAACACGAATGGCACACCCTTCGCCGCAGCAGACGCGCCCGCTACCTAGTCATGGGTCTCGTTCTTGTCCTTGTTGTTCTTGTTACTGTCGTTTTTGACGTTCTTGTGGTTGTGGTTGCTGTTGCTGCTCTTGTGCGTGGTCGTGGCGCCGATGGTCATGGTGATGGCGCTGCTGCTGTCTCGGTACGAAGAGCTGAAGGGGTTTCAAGTAGCACCATGATCATGATGGCAAACTAACTTGCGACAGGAGCAAAGTCCTGGACGGCACAGCTTTCCTCGAGTAGCCGCTGTCGCTACCGCACAGGCGCAACTCATCGTCCAGGAAGTTCCAAATCCTTAAAGACGGGTTCTGGTGATTCCGTGCAGGCTGCATTGCAGGAGCCGCGTGGTGACATGAGCGCCAGGCCATCTTCGTGTTAAGTTCTGCTTCTGTGTGCTGGGCTCGTGCCTGTCACATGGTGCACCAAGCCCTTTACAGCAATTGAAGCAGAATGCAGGGCTGCACGTGTTGATGGTATTTGGTCATGCAAGT